TTTCTTGCTTCTGCCACAAATTCCCCCAGCTGTGAGCCTTCTAACCTTCTAAGTATTCCTTTACATGTGGTTCAGAGTTCTGGGACCATCCCCTGAACCTGCTTGGTCGGGTATTCTGTGTTGTTGTTGGTGGAGCTCTCTGCTATACGTCCACCCAATCTGCCATCTTGTTTGTTCCACTCCTCTATGTCTTGATATGACTTGATAGCTCATTGCTTGTTATTACTGAGCAATACTCCATTGTACTGACACACCACCATATGCTTACCCACTCACCCATGAATGGCATCTCTGTTGTATCCAGTATTTCTATTTGTCAGTAAAACTGATATTACCATTCGTGTGCAGATTTTTTTTTCCCCAGCAAGTTTACATTTACTCAGCACGTATCTTTTGAGTATATGCAGTGTGGTGAACACTTTTCTAGGTCTACAGCTAGCCCACTTGGTACTTGCATGCTAGTGAGGCAGATGAGAGACAAACAGATAAGCCAGTAGATCTATACAATGTCAGATGATGATAAGTTCTACAGCTACTTCGATAGTAAATAGCAGAACTGGAATTCAGAAACAGGCAGTCTAATCCTGGAGTCACTGCTCCATGCCTGCTGTGCTCATAACTGTAGTTTGCGAGGGATACAAGTGTGCAGCTCACGGACTAGTCTCATGGATATCTCCATCTCATGTTGGCCCAAGGGGTCTGTATTCTTTTGCTCTTAGAAAGGACTACTCAGCTGCAGCAATAAGGCATAAGCACACAGAGTCAGCAAACTTTTTCTGTTGGCATTAATTAAAGAAGAAACCTTATGCTGCAGACCATCAGTTGGAGACTTGGTGTGCTCCTATCTCGTTTCTTGTTAGGACTCCCTTTATTCTTTCCAGTCTTGCCTCGTGTGCAGATTTTTGTGGGGACATATGTTTTTTTCTCATTTTAAGGGTGCCATTGCCTAAGGTGCTGGATTTAGCCCTTTTGTGGTTCACGGGACATATGGTGTCCACTTACCTTTCCACCTCTGAGGTTTATTGGGAAGCTCCTATCCCACTTTTAGCATGTGCTGAATATGGTGGGAGTCTGAATAACTGCATGAATCAGAAGAAATGGGTCTCATCTCACCAATTCCAACACCAGAGACCCTTCAGGAACATTTGTCCCACTAATTGTATCAAATTCTTGCTTCCTCAGAAAAAAAATTTTTTTTTTCCATTTCATTCAAAATGTCTTCCATTACTGAAAACACAAAAAGTTCAAAGTAGAAAATAATTCAGACTTCTAAGGTTCAAACAAATAAAATCAGCAATGTTTAAACCCCTGCCATTGTACTTACAGGCATTGTCTTTTTGTTTTTTCCAGGGACGACTATCATGAGGATGGATTCTGCCAGCCTTACCGAGGCATTGCCTGTGCACGCTTCATTGGGAACCAGACCATTTATGTGGACTCCTTGCAGATGCAGGGGGAGATCGAAAACCGAATCACTGGTAGGCACTGTGTGCCTTTGTAGTGAAGCTATGAGCATTCACACAGCCCACTCCAGAGCACAGAAAGGAGCCACCTTTCTGATTTATCACTGTATCCACTCATCTTATGGGCAATGCAGCGCTCTTCTTTTTCTCTTTCAAAGTAGAAAATCAGAGACAAAGCTGTTGCAATTCTAGCATAGTTTATCTTCAAATGTTCTCAGCTTGTATATTTAAATTAACAAGTATGGATAGGTTCAGATATACTTTTTTTTTTAAAATTGTGAATTGTGTGATAGTCTACATGGGAGAACATCAGCTTTACATTAATTTCCTCATCTATCATTTCACTGGCATAGTTACTGTCCTGACCATGCATCGTCACCCAACCAAGGGGTGTACCTTGTAAACCTGCATTTCCACCCCCCACCCCACCATCCCCCACACACAGTCCTAAGCCCCTTTCCATCTCCTGATCCCGAGTCCCCGGCCACACCATCTCTTGACGTCATCTTCTCTGCCTCCATCTCAGGCCTCACCGCCTCTCTGGGTAGGACTCTGCTCTTCGCTCTTCTCCATTGATGGTCCCAGGGTCCTCCACTCCTAGACTGAAAAGTTAATCACTCCCCTCTTTGGTACAAAATGTCTATCTTTAGACTTCTAACCTTCACAATCAGTCCTGATAACAATTATTCACCATTGCATCACAGGAGACCCATCTGTATTTCGTTTCATCAGCACTTCCTGGACAGGCTAGACACTATTCACTGGAGACTTTACCTTCCTCCACGCCCTTTGGATCTAGGTTCCCTCTTGAAAGCTTGTAAGCCAGTCACTTCTTGCCTTTGTATCCCTCCCCCCATTTTGGGTAGCCAATGTCCAAGTTGCCCATCCCTGTCTACCCTTTGTGTGGAGAGGGTTGGAATAGTTCTTACAGCAGGGATTTGTTTCCTCTTTTGATCTACTGCATTCATAGGTATAGGTCCTGTTTATCGAATTGTATCAGATGGCGCTTTTTTTCTCTTCTTTCTTCTTCAGGTTGAGCTCTGTTTATCCAGCCATTGAAGTCTGGTCAAATGGGCATCATCTGCAAGTGTGGGTGTTCTTATGTCTGTCCAGCCTCTTTTAATCGGCTGGCCGCCCCACTCTCCACTCTAGACCTCTGTGGCTGTGTCATTGATTATGAGCCCATGAGTCCCTACTGGCCGACTAGGTCTCCACCCGGGTTCACAGTAGTTTGCTGAACAATGTAGGGCTTAGCTTGCCACTTCATTGATGTTCTTTGGTCACTTACCCTTCTGGGTAAGTCAAGGTTGTCAGTCAAGGTGTATATTTCCCTTGCATCTTAGTCTTGGAAGAGAATGTGCACTGAGAGGACCCGACCACTTGCCTTGATGTCTCCTGGGCAAGCCACCTGTATGTTCTTGTGGTAACAGTCAGACTGCCCTTATTGTTTTGTATTTTTCCTGTAGGTCCTTCTTTCAAGAAGTGTCTTCTGGTTTTCTATCAGATATACTTTTTTTTTTATTGTTTTATTGTGAATTATATGATAGTTTACATGCGAGAACTTTAGTTTTACATTCATTCCATCGTATATCATCTCATTGCCATGGTTCCAATCCCCTCCATGCATCATCAACCAACCAAAGGGTATATCCTAGAAACCTGCCCCCTACACTCTTCCCTCCACCACCGCCCCACGTTTTCGGCCCACAGTCCCTTTTCCTCTGGATCCAAAGTTCCCAGCCACTTCATCACTCCACATCATCGTCTCTGTCTCTATCTCAGGCATCTCTGTGTCTCTGGGTAGGGTCCCGCTCTCTGCTCTTTTCCGTTGATGGTCCCAGAGACCTCAGCTCCTATCCTTGAGAATTAATCATTCCCTCCTTGTTACAAAATGTCTACCTTTGCATTTCCAACCATCACAATCCGTCCTGATAAGCAATATCACGAGTTAGCGATCTGTATTTCTTTTCATCAGCTCCGCCCAGACAGATTGAGTGGTACCCACTGGAGATTCTGCCTCCTCCATGCTCCCTAGCACTAGGTTCCCTCTTGAAAGCTTGTAAGCCAGTCACTTCTTGCCTTTGTAGTCCCCCTCTCGCCATTTGAGTATCCAATGTCCAAGTTGCCCATCTCTGTCTACTCTGTGTGTGGAGGGGGTGGGACTGTTTCTTGCTGTAAGGATTTGTTCCTTCTTTTGAGTTGCTGCTCCATAGGTATAGGTCAAGTTCATCAGATTGTATCAGCTCAGTCTTTTTTTTTTTCCCCCTCTTCTTTCTTCTCCTGGATGAGCTCCGATCATCCAGTCATCCGGTCCAGGTCACGTGGGTATCATCTGCAAGTGTGGGCGCTCCTGTGCACCTGCCCTATCTTCCCATCAGCCGGTGGCTCCACTCTCTATCAGATATACTTTTGCACAATTATTAGACCAAAGACAATCAAAACACATCTCCTGCCCACCGCCCTCCCCCTCCAACACACGCTTGTCTTTGTTGACCCCATAAGGTACAAGAAAAATCTTTTGAGAATGACAGATGCACCAGCATCTCAGGGTAATGGGATTCTCCATATGGTAATTTTTTTATCCTGGCTGCACGTGTGAATCACCTGATTGCTTTACAAAATTTCTGATGCTGGGGCTCCCTGAGAGATCCTGGTAGGGAAGTAGGGGCTGCAGAAGGCACTTTTGGATTTGAATGAGGGTTAAAGTTAGAAACTCATGCAGGTGTCATTGGAAGTCTCTTCTGAATTCAGTCCAGTCCCTAACCTTAATATAAGGACTAGGACCAGTGTTTTGAAAGGCTCTTTGTGATTAATGCTCAAACAGCCTCCCCTAGATGACAGTGCAAAATGAAAGAGTAATAATGGAACATTCAAGAACCTGAAAGTGCCATCTCTGTTGGCTGGGAACATGTTTTGAAATGTTATCTCTCACTGGAAAAGTTTTGTATGCCATTTAAAGCAAAACTTCTCAAACTTTTTCACCACAACGTGATGTTAAAAGTATACTTCACAACATGACTTAGTTAATATATTGTTGTTGTTAGGTGCTGCTGAATTGGTTCCAACTTATAGCGACAACCCTGTGTACAACAAAATGAAATATCGCTCTTTACCACTTTAAAGAAGTTTTGTGTAGCAGATTTGACTAAGAAATACATCATTTGACTTTTTTTAAATGTTTTATTGTGAATTATGTGATAGTTTACATAGGAGAACATTAGCTTTACATTCATTCTATCATGTATCATTTCATTGCCATGGTTATAGTCCCCTCCATGCATCATCAACCAACCATAGTGTATACCCTGCAAGCCTGCCCACTGGTTGTCAGCACACAGCCCCTCCCCCTCTCTGAGTCTGAAGTCCCCAGCTGCTTCATCTCTCCACGTCATCATCTCTGACTCCATCTCTAGTGCTACTGCTTCTCTGGGTAGGGTCCCCTTCTCCGCTCTTCTCCCTTGGTAGTCCCAGGGACCTCCGCTCCTAGATGGCAAAGTCAATCACTCCCCTCCTTTTGCTACAACATGTCTACCTTTATATTTCCAACCCTCACAATCAGTCCTGATAACAATTATTCTCTGTTGTGTTACAAGAGACCTATCCCCATCTCCTTTTATCAGCCCCACCTATACAGATTGGATACTATTCAGTGAAGATTCTACCTTCCTCCGCACCCTCTGGATCTAGGCTCCCTCTTGAAAGCTTGTAAGCCAGTCGCTTATTTCCTTTGTAGGCCCCCAATCCCCATTTTGGGTAGCCAATGTCCAAGTTGCCCATCCCTGTCTACTCTGTGTATGGAAGGGCTAGGAATGATCTTCACTGTAAAGATTTGTTCCCTTTTTTGAGCTACTGCATCCATTGGTGTAAGCCAAGTTCATCATATTGTATCAGATCACTGTTTTCTTCTCTTCTTTCTTCTTCTAGTTGAGCTCTGAATCATCCAATCATTGAAGCCAGATTATCTGCAAGTGTGGGTGTTCTTATGCATATAACTTCTCTTCTTATCAACTGGATGCTTCACTCACCACTCTAGACCTCTGTGGCTATGTAAATGACTCTGGGGCCAAGAGTCCCCAGGTCTTGCCACACTGCTGGCCAACTAGGTCTCCACTTGGGTTTACAGGAGTCTATTGAAGGTTGTAGGGCTTAGCACGCAGATTCATTGCAGTTTTTTCCTCACTTCCCCTTACCGGTGACGAATGTGGTCATCAATCAGAGAGTTTATTCCCATTGAGTTTTAGTCTTGGAAGGGGGTTTGCCCTTAGGGAACCCGACCACTTGCCTTGATGTCTCCTGCACAAGCAACTTGCTTGTTCTTGTAGTAATCAGTTGGTCTGCCTATATTGTTTTTTATTTTTCCTGTTGGTCTTTCTTTCAAGAAGTATCTCCTGTTCTTCTAGCAGCTCCAGGCTCGTATGCTTGTCCTTTCAAGTGGAAATTTCCCACCTCAGAAGATTCTAGATGGGGATCAGGATTCCATGTATGGTCTTAAGTAATGCAGAGGCTCCTTAGGAAGCCTCCTTCACTGGGCACATTGTAGCCTCATTTTAGGTATTCCAATGAGTTATAGGCAGAAGATAGACTTACAAACTTTCTATGGTGATATTTCTGTCTATTCTTTTAGCTCCCCCTCAAGTGTTGATTTTATAATGGTATGCCAGGGAAACCAAGATTCAAAAGGCAGCCAAGCATCTTAACATTATTTGCCCCCTTTTCCCCATTCCAAACATGTCTCAATCCCTGTATCTCAGAGCCCTGTTGTTTCAAGGTTGCGCATTCTTTACCTCTGTCCCATTTAGCCCATTGAAACCTGCCTAATTGTTTCCCTGTCTGCTTTGTTCTTCCATTCTCCTTCCCCTTCTTATGTATTGGCCCCTTCCCCAGCACCCAAACTATCCTGTGCTCCACCTTCCTTTCCCTCTCTTCACCTCACCCCCACATCCCAGAAACCAGCAAAGAATCTCTCTCCCCACCCCCTTTTAGTATGGGTTATTTTCCTTAGTCTTTTATAGTAG